TTATTTACTTATTTATTTATTTATTTATTCATTTATTTTCCACCAATGCCGTCTGGCTTGAGTGTGACGGGTGCCTGTAGGGGGCTTGGCGCGGGGGGGCTCGTGGCTTGGTTGCGGGTTGGGCAGGCCAGTCGGGTGTTCTAGCGCCTTGGGGATGTGACTGAGGTTGCAGCCCCCGGGCTTCGTAGGCACCTTCCCTCCACTAGCGACTTGGGCGTTAAAGGCATGTTAAACTCGTTGAACTTACTTTCTTTATAAGAAAACCTTTCCTTTAGATGGTCAAACCAGGCAGGCAAAATCATCCTCATAGCCATTCTCACAACACTCCATTTTCAAGCCATTTTTAACCTCAGAGCAATCCAGAAAAGAAATGCGAATGTTTTTGTTAGGAATGAGAGTTGAAAGTTTAAGAGGTTCTGTTAATTTTGTTGTTATTGTTGTTGTTTACTATGTAGATGGGGGCATCAGATGTTGTACAAGCACATTTCCTGGCATACAGGCATTCCTTGGAAGATTTTTTCAGCAATTCCTTGTGAGGCTCAGTTTCATTATTTTTACAAACACAATCTTAAACCTGGGAGGCCTAGTGGCCGAATGGTTAACATGCTGGACTCTGGATCGAGCAGTCTGTGCTCAAGCCCTCACTGGGGTCATTTTGTTGTGTTCAGATTATGAAAGACACTTTACTCTCACAGTCCATCTCGCCACCCAGGTGTATAAATGACAAATTTAATGCTTGATGATGGACTAGCATCCCATCCAGCTAGTCCCTAAATTTTATGAAAGACCAGGATGAGCCACCTGGCCCGACATAGACTTAATGTTTTTACCTTACATAAATCCTTTTTAATGTCTTTTCCTTAATTTTTGAAAGTATGTTGAGCTACTCCCCTAGATGGGAAGCTATTCTCTGTAGCATTCTGTCAGATTGCCACAACAATTTGCCAGTATCCATTTATACACCTGGTTGGGGAGAGGCCCTGTGAGAGTAAAGTTTCTTGCCCAAGAACACGACATAAGTATCTGAACTAGGGTTGGAACCCGACTGTCACAATCCAAAGTCCAGCAAACTAGATCACCTTGTCTTTATGTTAGAGGGAGTTAACTTTGACAAAATTATTTAAAAAAAGCTGAGTTTCTCGTGATTAACTTTTTCATAGAAAAAGCTATCTGTAACAGAATGTAAAGACTAGAGAAGACACTTAGTTACCAGTATGTTACTATTTTTTTTTTTTTCATGCTTAGAAAAAAAAACGTGTAACCTCCCTTTTTTGCATCCTTATCCTGCATCTTTATCCTGTGGTGCCAATGTCATAAAAGAAATAAATGGAACCTCCATTTTCTCCATGTCTTTATTAGATTAAATTTATTAAGATCAAAGCATTTCATTTAGCTTTTTTGAATGATCTTCACTACAAAAATAATGGAACCATGGAATGGGCAGGAATTTTGTACAGCGAGCACTCCCACTTGCTTACAGTCAACTAACAAGAACACACAGGAATGTAAGCAGATCAGCAAAAGAACGTGGGAGTGGTCGTTGCACAAAGATTATAACCCATTTCACTGTTTGGTGTTTCCATAATATCAGGAAATATAAATTTAGAAACAGAAGTCGTAGTGATTAAATATTGTCTTTTTGTAGGCGGGAGAGGAGTAGGGAGATGCTGGTTTATGGCAAAGTATTACTCAAGATGCTGGATGCCATGACAGTTATAAATCCTCATTTGGAAGGAAATACCAGGACTGGTACCCTGCCACTTACTACTGAGGTACATCAACATATAAAATCTCCTTACGATATCAGTACATGGCAAAGATGGCAGGTGATAAGAATTGAGAAAATCATCCACCAGGGGAAGGGACCTTATATTGTGTGTTGTAGATTTGGGTTTAAAAGAGAGAAGTGATAGAGTACAACATTTTATTTTCAGTGAAGTTTTTGAGCACTAAGGAACAACGAGCTAGATTGTGTTGCTAGATGTTAATGAGCAGTTTCGTTTGGATTGTAAACCCAAATAATATTTCCTTGCAGGTTAACAGTGGATTAGAGGTGATAAACAGATATTGTGAAACAGTGTTTCTTGGGTTGACTGATGATGCTTTGTCTTGCTGTTCCTTTATTGTGGTATGTCAAAGTTTCAAGATGAAAATAGTAAATTTAATTAACTGGAGTTGTTCTCTTACTTAGCATTGACCTTTAATAGCCCTTGCTTATATGTTTTTTCTTGTGAAATGACAAACTGTTCTGTCATGAAATATATCAAACACGAAAAGACGGTGTTTGACCACATTTCCAGACACAGAGAAGAGAGTTGAAAATACGACATATTTTTGACGAGGTGTTTGGAAATTTGGTCAAACTTTGTCTTGAGTGTTTGATGTATATCTCAATCAAAACTAATACTAAGGAGAAAACGAAGAAATAAAATCGTAATAGCAGATTTACACAGATTTACACTATTGTGTCATTTGACTTCAACTACCAGAATTCCTTTCGTTTTTTCTTTACTATGTAAGTTTTGAATTTCCAGTGGGATTTGAATAACAATTGCCCCAATTAGCATAGGAAACAGAAAAGTGAAGGATTCTGGTAGTTGTAGTCAAATGACGCCATCATGCAAATCAGATATCCAAACACCGTCACGGTCATGATATTCCTTTGTTTCATGAATTATAATTGCAGTCTTGTTTGTAACTTAAATGGTAGGAAAAAAACCGTTTCAGGCTTTCAAGTCTATGATATATGTGGAGAGTCACTTCCTTCGTGCCGCAGTCAAAAGCCTTACCTCTGATTCAAAGCAATTGCTAGTCCTATGAAAATGACTATTTTTTGATAGGAATCATTTTCTTTTCACGGCTTAGCACCAGGCCACGCCCTGAAGCGGAAGGCAACTAGGAAGTGGTCTATGAGATGCTTATGATTTTACTCTTACTTATTTACTTTAAGTTTTGTTACAATTGCAGCCTTCTAGTACCATATTGTTGATAAAATACTGACGTATGATTGTCTCTTTACAATAGAAATATTTTCCCCCAGTGAAGAACGGCAATTCTCTCATCGTGCCGCAGAGCTTTAAACATGGAGCTGAAAGGGGAGACATAATCAACCAAGGAAAACTGGGTAGTTTATTAGGAAACTCTTGCAGAATTTTTGTAATTTTGATTCCGTTTTTACGCCATAATTTGACAGCGGAAATCTGGAATCTGGAGGCTTCAGTCTTTCTTTCTTTTTTTCATTCGATATATCTTTTTTTGGTCATTTCGTTTTAGTGGTCATTTTTTGATCAAATGGCCCGCACAATATTTCCTGCAATTTTCTTAACCACACTTTCACGTACCTAATGAAGATTATCTACATAATTTTAGTTCCAATATGCCTTGTTATCCTCAAAGCAAAAAGCACTTTCAAAGGTTTTGTTGGGAAAGTTTACGTGAATTGCCACTAGTTACTGAATTAGATTTAATGTTCAACTGAGCCAGAAAGGAATTTTGTTGTTATTTTTGGTTGAAAAGTTACAGTTTTCTGAGGCCAAAGCATGCGATAACTTTTTTTTTTCAGCGTTAATTGTGGCAGAACAAGCCAAAACTATCGCTGCTCCCCCAACCATCGCAGAAGAAACTGTCTTGCTGCAGGTACGAGAATTTGTAACTGTTTGACCAAGCCAATAGATTTTACTAAATATACGTTGTCAGCAACAGGACTGTTATTATGATACCATGTTGAAGATACAACGTTCACACTACTTCTGGACTGGATAGTAAGATTATTGAAACTCAAACAACACATTCATTTTAATGGTCGCAGACTAGGTTTTTATCAGATAGAACCACCCTGTAAAACATAATTATGTAACCATATTGAAAGCAATCATATGAAAGTAGCTACTCAATTACTATCGTTTTAATAGTCATGCACTCTTTTGAAAGTTAAAATCACCTTGTACAAACAGTACCACGCGAAAATACTTCTCAGTAGCTTTTATTTGAATGGTCACAATAGGGTTTTATCATCCAAAAAAAGTAAGAACCAACTTGTGGAATGTTATAAACAGTACCACATGAAAATACTGTTCAAAAGCGTTTATTTGAATGGTCACACATTAGGGTTTCATTCACAGATCGGAGATAGACTGACAGTTAGAACCACCTTGTACCGCATAATAAACAGCAGCATATGAAAGTACGGCTCAACAGCTTTTATTTGAATGGTCACACACCAGGGTTTTATCATCCACAGACTTAAAAAAAAGTTAGAACCTCCTTGTACAGCGTAACAAACAGTATCACTTGAAAAAACTGCTCAGTAGCTTTCATTTGAATGGTTACACAGGCCTGACCGGTTTAGTGAAAGCGTGTCCTTGCGAGCGAGAGATGATTTTTGTTTGTTTGATTTTGTTTGCAGTATCTTGTAGACTCGAAGCTTGATCAAGTGTTCCATGAGTTCCTAGTTGACCTTGTGACGGAAGAGGAGTTCATTCCAGCCAATCCATACCCCAGACTAACAACCGACCTCACAGTGGCAGCCATGAGGTAACGTAATTCAATAGCCTGATTCCCTTTCTCCTCCTTTTTTTTCTCACCCCTTCCTCACTTCTCCCCTTTTGCCACTTGCTCACCCCATGGGCCTGTTTCTCCAAAGCCCCGGAAACTTTTTGGCCCCACAAGGCCATTTTTAGTCGATCTGCATCTACAAACAGAGAGGTGTATACGCCTGAAACTTCTTAAGTGTATATTAAGAATATGTGAATAAAACAGCTCTGTAATCATAAGGTTTGAGATTTTGCTACGGCTCTCCGGGTGCGAAAACTTTTCGGGACCTCCGAGAAACGGGCCCCAGGCGCGCTCGTTTGCTCGCTCGCTTGCTCGATCTCCTCGCCCGGAAAATGGAAAGGAAACGTCTGTTACGCAGGCTACACGGTCGACTGCATTTATTACAAGAAGCTAGAGTGGCAGTGTACTGGGTTGCAATTCTAATAACGTTGCTTCAGAAAATAACTTTTTTTTTGTTGTAATTCTGAAGAAATTGCAGTGAACCGTGAGGCTTGGAAACTTACTTCGAAACGAGAAAAAATATATCCGTTAGGTACACTAACAAATGTTATGTACATCTCACATAACTTTGAAAAAGTGGGGACAGTGTTATTTTAATTTCTTCTTGTCTAGGTTATATAACCAAAGAGACTTCAGAACTTCAGTAGTATTTATTGTTGCATGACTAAGTTAGCTCAGAGGGCCAATAATTAAAACCACCCAATCAAATTGCTCCAATTCCGGTCCAATATTTTCAAGTATTTGACCGGGCACTTTCCCGAATGATCCCGCTCGATCACTCTTGAAGATGTTCTGTAGTTATATGGTTTGTGTTTGTGAACGAAATGGCTTTCAGATAAAATATTCCTTTGCATTTTTCTCCAATTCTCCAATTCCCTTCTGTTTTATTTAACATCATACTTGAGTATATGCTTTGTGTGCTCCCAATCAGACTTGCGCGGTTGAAGCTTGCGATGTTTTCCAGTCCGTGATCATGGCTTTTTTTATAAATATTTTCAGTCGTGTAATAAATCTGTTATTAACCAAGCTTGCTCGGGACCGTATTGGGAAAATACCGGCCCTCAGTCTTTTTTGTGCGGACCTTGCTGCGCTCTGTCCTTGCTGTCAAGACCTCGGGCCGATATTCACCCAGCACGGCCCTCGCGCTTGGTTAATAAGATACATATAGCCTCCACCCTAATGTGTACCCAAGCCGTTACTGCGTTTTAACCCTCCCCAGGATGGAGTTATTTGGAGAAAAGCGTCCAAAGCTGTTATCCAAACTCGTGTCCGCTGTTCAACTGACTGACCCGGAAAACTTTGTCTGTCATGTCCCTGGTATTGAAGCTTACGGTAAGAAATTTGTCTGGTTTAAATTATGCCCTCAGAATATTAATCCACTTTTAAGCATTTTCCTATCGATCTTTAAGCCTTCTCCAGTCTTTCTATCCTAACTAAAAGTGTTAGATAATGTGAAAAAATGTAGATAACTGATTGAAATGCATTTCATTACGTATTCATCAAATTCGAAGTCGACGTTGCTGTCGGATTTGGTTAATACAGCTTTGGTGTTTGCCAGTATTAATCTAATGTTGTTCTAGGTATTATTTTAATATAGATGTTGTTGATTATACAGGCTTGTCCAGTGCTATAGCAGCATTGGATGGAAAATATTACAACAACTTGCGTGCCAGACTACACAGTCTCTCTAACAGAGTCAACACCAAGATAACAGTGGCTGGCTTTTCTGTAAGTGTACTTACTTTTGCTATCTTCGCTTTCGGGGAAACGGTACTCTCATCTGATAAGTCGATCTTTTTATCTCTTTAATGATTTTCCTTAAAAAGGGAGTACAGTATTAAACATTTATGAAACTATCATCTCCTCAAATATGCAATACCTAATCCCAAGCGAATTGCGTTTGCTTCCTGAAGGAAAGAAAAACTAACGGTGCAATTGTGAAGAACCCGAAGATTTTCCGATTTTTATTGTCTAATCAAAAATTAGCACGAGTACAGTGAGAGGTGAAGGCAGCTTGACGTCAGAGTACGTCATGGAACGGTTTCCCAGGAGCACAGTAGGGAGTTTTCGAAGTAATCACGACGACAACGCCGAGGACAAAGTTGATTTGAAAATATTGTACCTACGGATCTCGCAGAAAACTAAATCTGGAACACAGCAATAAATCTAAAATAAAAATTTTAAAAAATTGGCCATCGTGGCTTACGTTCTACAGAAAACGCAGATTTTAGTCATTTCACGTTGTTTTGCAGAGGACGGCAAAGAAATTTACCAAGATTTACAACGTGCGTGCACAGCCATTGCTCTGCTCATTAAACCTTTTGTTTAGCGACGCTCCCGTTGTCGTCGTGGTTTTCTTAAATTCCCTAGTAAGTAAAACAAGCAACCAATGAATCCTCTTGTGTAACTCCAATGCACAATTGTGGCTTCTATGTAGACCTGTGTATTGAATGAGCATTTTCTTAATGGAACTGAAAGGATCAATACGTTATCTTTATAATATTTATTGTAGACTGTTGTTGACATGGCTCTCTGTGGATTTGCCCCTCTCTATGGTCGCATGACGCCATATTTACATGAGATAGACTTGGAGGAACATTATTTTATTCAAGGTCCAAGTCACAGCAGAACAGAAGTCATACTTCACTTTGCAAAGCTAGGTAAGGACAATTCCATGTCTAACTGCAATATGACCACGTACGAGAGAACAAGAAAACTTCTACTGACGGTGGAGTGTAACACGGTCACTCAAGACGCAGATCATGCAGACTGCAGACCGTGCAGACCATGCAGACTGTGCAGACTGAGTAATTTTTTTCTAACACTTGACTCACTTTTTTTCGCTTCTAATGACAAAATAGTGTTCAATATGTTCTAATGTTTGTTATGTATCCACAGGCGGCACAAACTCAACATCTGACTGTTGATTCACGCGTTTAATAGACTTTCTATGGGAAATTCCCTTTACTGATCCTAAATATACTAATATCAAGCATAAAAATAAACTTCCATACATTCTGGGCGCAAATTGCGTCAATTTTTGATGGGTTTGTGGTTTTATTTATTTTCTCCAATTTGTTGTTTTTGTTGTTGTTGTTTTTTTTCTTTCGATTTTCTTAGTCTTCGTTCTCCTCTTAACTGATTCATAAAACAAAGCAAGGACGGTGACTCTAATTAAGCGACCTTGTCCCACAAATCGCTTCTTTTTCTTCACAAAGTACAGAATCGCCATTAGACTAGGAGTATTCCCTCTTTCGCGTAGTTTAACATGACCGTAAGTAAACCTCGACGAAAAAAATGCTCGCATGAAATTTTTTCCCCGAGGTTTTCTTATGCGTCACGCACGATGGACTAAGCGAAAGAGGGACCACTCGCAGTTTAAATTGCCATAAAAACAAAGTGCCTTAAGGACAGATAAAGTAAACATCGCATCAACTCATTACGGCAACCGTACTGCACTGAGAATTTCAAATGCTATTCGGTTTTCTGTGATCTTTCCATGCGTTAGGCTTTTTTTGGCGTGATCGCAGTCACACTCCAACAGCCACTTGGAATTACATTTTGTATACCAAGAGTAGAAAATGCACATGTTACGTGTGACATTACATTACAAGTGAGGTTTATAATAGCTTTCCTTAAGCATATTAAGAACTAAAGGGAATTTCCCTTGCAAAATCTATAACACATCAACGGTCACATACCACCGAGTTTGTGTTGCCTGTGGATGAACAGAACCAAAAAATATGCGAGTCAAAAGTAAATGCAAAAAAAAAGAATAAGAAAAAAAAGTGCACGGTCTGCGGTCTGCAGTCTCCAGTCTCCATGGTCTGCGTATTGGGGCGACTGCGCCAAAGAAAATGAATTAAAAATTAACCCGCGAAAATTGCTGGCGCCGCGCTCGTCCCCAGCTCATCTTGATCGCGCTCGGCCCGTTCTAATCGCCGTCGCTCAGGAAAAGCCTGTGGAGGAGGCAGCCCTAGTGGAGCTCTCAGGGACACTGCTCTGGCTAATTATAGAACATCCTCTTTCCTAATTTCCATTTTGTATTGTCAAATGCTACCAAAGATACAAGTTAATTAGATAAAATGATTGTTGAGAGCAAAATAGAAGAAGTATTTTGCAGAAGAAGTACGGGATAACAAGGATGAAAGCTAGAAAGTAGAAAATTAGAAAAACTTAGATAGTACATCACTGACGAGAGTGCAAAAATTGTTGTTCATGCCTGTATAATTCCGAAATTGGACAGCTGTGAGTCACTGTCATATAGTCTTCCACAGCATTTACTTTCAAGATTACAACCAGTTAAAAACTACAGCAGCTCCAATTGTTACGCGCACAAGGAAATTTGATCCGTATGTTACACCCTGCTAAAAAGGCTGGCTGGCTGGTAGTCTCCTCCGCAGCCGTTTTTTGGGATGTCATGCAACGCTCCCCNGAGCGTTGCGTGACATCCCTAAAAACGGCCGCGGAGAAGACTAGCTGGCTGGCCGCTATTGCGTGATTTACATAATTTATCTATCGGTCTAGTTACCTCTCAATGGTGCTGCACCGTGCTACATCAGTGATTAGAAAGTTTAAGTAACTTCGACACCGACGCCGAGGACAAGGTCGATTAAAAAATGGATTTATATTTTACCTACGAATCTCGCGATACCTTTAAGTCATTAAGTCATCTTGAAACTGAATATGGAACAGAGCGTAAAATTGGAAATATAAATTTAAAAAATTAGCCGTCGTGGTTCACGTTCTCCAGACAACGCAGAATTTGGTCATTTCACGTTGTTGTTTCGCAGAGGACGGCAAAGAAAAGTACCAAGAGTTATCATATACCGTCACAGCTATTGTTGAGTTATTTTTTTTTCCAAAAAAATACCTCTTAGTCGGCGCGTCGAGTATGTTACGGGTCAATGGGTGAGTGAGTGAGTGAGTGACAGATGTATGTATGTCACACCAATCAGATTGGATCTACTATAAACAGCCAATCAAATTTCTTGTTGTAAAGGTAAATGGT